CTGGGTATCTTTCCAAGAGAACTAAAAGAATCATATCACAGAGAAGTATGTGCACCCATGTTTATAGCGGCACAGTTTGTAATAGCTAAATCTTGGAAACAGCCTATTTGCCCATCCGTTGGAAAATGGATAAAGAAGTTGTGGTTTTTCTATAAAATGGAATATTACTCAGCCATAAAGAATGAGAAAATAGATTCATTCATAGGAAAATGGATACATATTGAAGATATACTCCTAAGTGAAATAAATAAGTCACACATGTGTAAATACCAAATAGTTTCCCTGGTGTAAATAATCTGCAACAATGCATAAGATTCTAATAAGATTACTGACATTTAGAAATGGGAAGAAAGGAGCTAAAGGTGTAGGGAAGGTGGGATGGGTAGGGGAAGAGTAAAAAGGGAAAAGAAAAAAATGTGAGAGAATGAAAAGATGAAAATAAAGTGTTTGTAGAAGGGGAGGGGAGGAGGGGGTGAAGGGAGGGCAGAGGTAAGGGAAAAAATGAGAATCAAGACTTGTCATGTAGAGGTACAAGATCCCAACAATGAATGTAACTGTACTGTATCCCTAAAATATACCAATAGACTCAATTAAAGCTGAAAAAAAAAAGAAAAAAAATGCAGCCAATTGAACAATGGTAATGGTTTATCACATAATTTTTATTTTATGCACATTTAACTAAGCTATTTTAGCCCATTCAGATTTATATCATATATCACTTTTGCGCATATATGAAAGGAAAATAAAATGATTTACACTGTTTGAGAATAGTCTTTTATTTATCTACTTGTGTGATGCTATGAAAAAGACATTTCCTTTGATAGTATTTGTCAAAAATGTTTAACTTGTATCTAATCATGTGAAATTTTAATAGTATTTAAATTCCACCCCATGTTTTTAGAGAAGTATAAGATGTCCAGGGCTAAAAGTAGAATCCTTTACAATTAAACTTGCAATGAAAAAAGCTTAAATGTCAGCTTAAATATGTGCAAGGGATACACTGAATACCTGCACAACACAGTTTACAAACTGCTAAAATTGCACTTTCTCCATAAAGACAATCTCACCACTTTTTAAAATATGGGCTGGGGATTTAGCTTGGTGGTGCCAGCGCCTGCCTTGCAAGCGCAAGGACTGGAGTTCAATCCTCAATACCAAAAAACAAAAATAAAATAAATAAATACATAAAATACTACAGCCTGTTCCACTCCTAATCCAGCAGTTCCTCTTTTTACCATGCCCATATTTTTGCCATAGCACTTATCATCTTTTAATAAATGATTTACTTGTTGATTGTTTCCCCCTTCTAAACTATTATAAGAGAAATACTCGTTTGTTCTCTAAAGTATCTCAAGTGACTAGAATGCCTAGCATGTAGTATTAAAAAGCATATGAACATTTGAGTGCATGAATGAATAAACACAAAAACAAACATGCAACAGAACCAAGTACATTGTACCAGACAGCAGCCTTATAACGATGCCTGTAAAATTCTATTACAAGTGAGAAGGGTCAGGGATATAGCTCAGTGGCACAGAGCACCTGCCTGGCCAAGTGCAATGTCCTGAGTTCGATACCTATAACCAAAAAAAAAAAAGTGGGGGGGGTGCAGTAGCTCAGTGGTGCTACACCTGCTTGGTAAGCATAAAGTTCTGAGTTTGTTTCCCAGTACCAAAATAAATAAATAAATTAATTAAAAAGTGAGAAAAATAAAGGCTTTGTAACTTCTGGTTAAACATGGCAAATGAATACTCTCATGTTTCCTTGTTCCCTACTAAAACTCAACTAAAATGATAGTAAAAAAAACTGACAGCCAGGCGTGGTGGCTCATGCCTGTAATGGCAGCACACAAGAATCTGAAGCAGAGGATCACAAGTGGGAACTCAGCCTGGGCTACACAGTAGGTTCAGGGCCAGCTTGCATTACACAGTGAGACTTTGTCTAAAAAAAAAAAAAAGGTGGGGAAGAGGGACTATTAAAAGAAAGAAGTATTAACATATTACGAAGACAAAGAGAATGGAAAAGAATATAAATAATAGATAAAAGATGTGAATAGCATTTTAGGAATTTAATTAAGTAGAGAATGTTGAAACTAAATATCAGAGAAGGAAGTCAATATTCAACAAGCCAATTCAGCCACAAAAACCTGGGTCAGGAATTGACGTTACTAGGTATCTCTAAAATTGAAGATTACAGCTAAAAATAGAATTGGCTCAGTCAGTAAAAGTGGCAAACCCCTCCCCTATCCTAAGTGTAGGACAGGTGCCAACACTTAACTTAACCTGGCTGAACATAAGAACTTTCTTCTACAGAGGCAAAGACAGGGAAAAGAGGGTTAGAGAGAAAAGGACAAGGCACCACATTGACAACAGAAGTATTAAAGTAAAAGTTTACAAAACAAATGGTGAAAAATCCCTAGCTGTATTCCCACAAAGCCAGCCCCTTAGTGGTAGAAGCTTCTGGCAAAAAGATAGAAAGTTTCCTCTCTAGATAATTTGTAAGTCCAAGAAAGACAGAGATATCAGACATTTAATCTTTATAAATATCTAATAAAACATAAGGTATTTTTTATAAGATTATCATTAAAAGATTTATATTTAAAAAACAAAAAGCAAATACTTACATAACCAACGTCAGGTCTGTAACATGTATATGCCCCTAAGATACTATGTAAAACATCATGATATGGGCCACCCTTAGGAGAGAAAAATGAAATTTGAAACTATACGAATAATTGTCTCTAAGTTTTCATATAACATGTTAAAAACAACTAGCATTTAGCATTTCCTAAATAACTAGTTTTAGTGTATTGTAAAAATATTCTAAGAGCATTCTGAAAAGATGTTTCAAAATTATTAGTAAAAACATTTTAGCCCTGAATAACAAAGTCAAATATGTGATATAAGATATATAATTTCCAAACACATTTAAATACTTCTAGATTTGGTACAAGAGTATGATGAATACATTTTGGTTTTTTTCTTTTTGGGGGAAGGGTGGTACTGGGGACTGAAACCAGGGCTTCAAGTGTGCCAAGCCTGTACTCTTATCTCTGAGCTGCAGCCAGCCATTTCATTTTATTTAATACAAATTCAGCAAAAGAAACCATCATACTGAATTAAGTTGTATTAATAATTTTAATCTTTAAAATTTTATCTCATTTTATTTTTATCAATTTTACAGCATATGAATAAACTGTCTTCCAAGTTTAATGATAACTATGAAAAATAGTTAACCATTTCTTCCCCTTCCCATAAATTAAATAACTATTTCTTCCTATTTCAGTTGCAATTCTGAAAAAAATTTAAGTTTAGAGACAAAATTCTTTAGATTTTAAGAATTTACTAGGCAAAACTTAACAAGCTCAATACAGAATCAAAAGTAAAACAAAGATGGGGCTGGAGATTTAGCTCAGTGGTTCTGCTGCCTGCCTTCCAAACACAAGGTCCCAAGTTCAATCCCTGGTACCAAAAAAAAAAAAAAAAAAAAAAAAAAAAAAAAAAAAAAAATTATTTTTAAAAAAAAAATTTTGTTTGGTGGCACATGCCTATAATTACAGTTACTCAAGAGGCTGAGGCAAGAAGATCCCAAGTTTGAAGCCAGTCTAGGCAACTTAGCAAGACCCTGCCTCAAAATTTTAACAAATGAAAGGTTTAGAGATTCAGTCCAACACTCTACTGGGGTAGGAGGGGTTAGTATCAAGTACATAAAAGGTATTATGTACTATGATACTAATGTGTTTCAGTCAGAGTGAAATGATAGAATTTTACATTTTCATATTACTTTCGCATTATAGTTATGTATATTTAAAGGTTTCAATTTTTGTAGTGCTGTCTCTTGTTTGTTTTCAGTATTGGAGATTGAATTCAGGGATCATGCAAACTAGGCTCAAGTATTTTACCACTGAGCTGTATCCTATATCCCTAGGCCTTTCTGAAATTTAATTTTGAAATAGGGTCTAGCTAAGTAGCCCAGACTAGCCTCAAACTTGCAATCTTCCTACCTCAGCCTCCTAAGTACCTAGGAATACAGGTGTGTGCCCCCATGTCTAGCTCTCTAATTTTGGCTTTTAAAAAACAACAGTTATATATTTAGAGAATTTGTCCCCATGGATACTGAAATACTTTTAAAAAGCAGTTACAGTGTGGTTAGAAACCCTCACCTTCTGAAAGATGAAGAGAGATGGAAATGTACGGGATATGTCCAACTTAATTAATTCCAGACTGGCCTCTCGGTCAGCAACAGATACACCTGCATTTACCAAGTAAATAAAATTTAAATGATCACTTGGCTGTAACAAGTTCAGTTTTGTAAACACAGAATGATCACATAGCGTATGTGTTATTTAAGGAAAATTAAAAGCTGAATTATCAAATTTCAAGAAAAGCCACATAGCTTTTGTTAGAACTTATATGAAAAAAAATATATTTATCAAAAAGGGACATAGTGAAGGAATTCTGCTTCCAGTTTTTATAGAATATAGGGCTAAACAACTAAAAAAATCAAATAATTACAAATATAATGTTTTTTTAAAAAATCACCATAGCTAATACAGCAAGGTCTAGAAGATATAAATTCTACAAAGGGAAAGGCCAGTGGCCAATTTTCTTCCTAGATGCCCCTGCCATGTCTGGGAATAGGTTTAGAATTGAGGTATTCTGCCTAAGGTAAGAGAAACCGGAAAGACTTTTCATGGCCAAACAAGAACGATGTGACAGATAGGGCTCCAAAAGACCCCTGACATTCTCCTATGGAACTTCTGCCGAATACAGGTCAGGCTGGAGAGGCAAAATGAATGCACCCAAAGTCACATGGTACTTTGGCAAGCATCTCATTGGAGGGAAAAACCTATAATCAAAACAGGACAGTTCTCATCAAGAAATCTGAAATCAGGAATGAATAAAATCCAGCTCAGTTACTGATTGAATTCAGGTGATCAACCCTCAATCCAACTTCCTAGAAGGAAAGAGCATACTTTTTCCAAAGGGGAAACATTAGCTTCAGTTTTTATATTACTTTCATATATAGTATATGGCATGCAATTTAAAATTTTAAGATATGCAAAAAAGCAGAAAATGTGATATAATCAAGGAGAAAACTATCCAACAGAAGCAGATGTACAGATAATCCAATCTTATCTGTTATACAAATATGTTAAAGAAAGTAGGGAAAAGAGGAAATGGATGGATGGAAAGATGAAGAATTTCAACAGAGAAATAGAATGTATAAAGTGAACCAAGGGACGTTATAGAATTACAAAGTATAATATCTAAAACTAAAAATTCATTGGACATGGCTGGGGATTTGGCTCATTGGTTCCACCGCCTGCCTCACAAGTGCAAGGGCCCAAGATCAATCCCTGGTACCAAAAAACAAGACAAAACAAAACAAAAACTCAATGGACAGATTTAATAGTATATTGAATAGAGTGGAAGAAAGAAGTAGTGAACAAAATCATTCAAACTGAAACAAAGATAAAAAACAGTCTAATACTCTTATGGGACATAAGTAAATAGTCTACCCTATACATAAATGGAGTATCAGAATGAAAGTGAGAGAAACTGAAGCAATATTTGTTTCGGGTTTTTGGTCTTTCTTTTTGATACCAGGGATTGAACTCGGGTCCTTGTGCTTGCGAGGCAAGCAGCAGAACCACTGAGCTAAATCCCCGGCCCCTGAAGCAATATTTGAAAAATTAATGACCAAAAATTAAATTATAACTGTAAATTATAAATAGGAAATAAGCAAACAGTTCAAATAAAACACTGCTTTTGATTTAAAATATTCATTACCTTCAGATAATATCTACTGATGTACAACTTTCACTATTTACTCATGACAAAATGTCTCAGAAGTTAATGCCTATTTAATTCTTAAAATTTTGATCCCTCATAAACAATTAGCTTTGTTTCGTTTTTAGTACCGGGGATCGAACTCATAACCTTAATGTTTGTGAGGCAAGTGGCAGCACCACTGAGCTAAATCCCCAGCCCAACAATTAGTTTTTGAAAGAATAATGGAGATGAGGTCCTACCAGTATAAAACTTCTGACATCTTCATCTTCCTTGCACTTTCAGTTCCCCACCAATACTTGACATAGCTAATAGGTATCAGAATGATAGTTATATGAACCTGGAAATCAAATCTTCTCGCTACACCTCTTTAAGCAGTTTTCCCCAACCTACTGTTCACTTTTCTAAAACAGAAAAAATTTTATATATTCATAAAAAATCACTACAGTCTTATTAGCACCATATCTGAAGCTATGTTCATTTTTAGAGGTTTAGATTTTCTTTTTTTCTTTTATGGGGGGGGTGGTGGTGGTACTGGAGATTAAGCCAAATACCTACATCCTTTTTTAATTTTTTGAGACAGGGTCTTGCTAAGTTTCCCAGGCTGGGCTCAAACTTGAATCCTTCTGCCTCAGCGTCACTGAGCACTGGGATTACACCAGACTCTGGTATGAGGCATGTACCATCACATCTGGCTCATTTTTAGTTTCATGTGCAGGCAAGAAAAGAGGATTGCTTTCTATTTTGTTGTATTTTTACATGAAGTAAAACAAATATAAAAGAGAAAAGCAACTGAGAAAAACTGTTGCCCATTATTCAAAGACAATAGATGGTTAGAATAAATTTACGTAAATTTAATAAACTGTGATGAATTGAAAAAACAAACATTTCTTTTTTCTTCACAATGTTTGGGAAAAACCAAATCGACAGTGATGGAGGGGCTACAAGTGAGTTAAATGGACAAAGAATAAGGTACAGTAAAGTTTATAAATAGGGACTAAGGAAGACAAGAGGTCACAATGAGGTATAAAGAATGTCTATCTTTAAGTAACAGGTTGGCCTAAAAGTACTTCATCCCATTAGCCTTACTGTGGTGATTTAAATTCTGGGCTCTAGGGTACAATTAATCTGGTTTATATCCAGCTTCTCTACTTAGAAGCCATTAACTAAACCTTAGTTTTGTCTTCTATAATTCAGGATAATACCTACTAAAAATGTTAAGGTTAAATGAGATAATTTATGTAAAAGTTACCATAGTTCTTGATACATGGTATAAAATCACACTATTGTTGTCTTTAGTAACTGGATTTTCATCCTGTAATGATTATTTAAAAACAAAATCATACCTTCTGTATCATTCTCTGAACTTATTTCACTGAAGCTTTTCCATCGTTCTTTTGCTCTTGAAAGGAAGATCTCATAAAGTTCTAGGGAAAAAAACCAAAAAATTCGTAAGAAAAAAGAATATTTTCATATATTTTAATTTTTACTCTTTATCTATTATAGGTCAGGTCTCCCTAAAATAATAAGTATCCAAAAAAGTAGCAAACTGAAGTATCTGATTCTACCAAAACAATTCATTACAAAACCAGAAAGACAGCAAATAAAAATAATGGAGAGTGACAATGCACACATCCAGGTAGCTACAATATAAAATGTATGCATGAAGCAGAAAGAGATGTTTCTGTAACGGAGTACCATTGTGGAACAGCAGAAACATAATTTTTGAAGTCAGTCAGACCTTGATTCATATTCCAGCTCTGCCACTCACTACCTGTGGGACTTTATTTTTTTATTTAGTTAGTTAGGTTTTTTAAGATAGGTTCTCACTATGTAGTCCAGGCTGGCCTTGAACGCAGTATGTATCTCAGGCCAGCCTTGAACTTGTGGTGCTCCTCCTGCCTCAGCCTCCCAAGTACTGGGATTACAAGCATCTGCCACCATGACCTACAACCTGTAGGACTTTAAAAACTTAACCACTCTGAATTTAGGTTTCTTCATCTGTAAAATGAAGAAAAATTACATCTATTGTTTACTTATGAATAAACAATATTGTTTTATGTAAAGCTTCTTACATATTACAGGCTCTCAATAAATGTACTTCTTTACTCTTAAATTGGGTTTTCCATTATGATATTACTATTTTCCATTATGATATTACTATTTAAAGCTACTTGTACTTCATAGTCTGATCTAAATACAAAAGTCTCTATCCCTATCTTTTTACTTTAAAGTCAATCACTTTTGGGGGATACCAGTATAATTCTTTATCACAATCTCATAAAACTTCAGGAACAATTTTCTCAATCCTCAGATTTTAATTATCTTGACTTTCTAGCTAACCAGTACAGATACTCGAAACTACATAAAAATAGTGAATTTCAGGGACAGAAGACCAACAAATATTTCTTACCCAACACCAACACTTACTTATGTTGTCCAAAATACCAAGAACATTTTTAAATGAATTCTTTTAAAAATTATTTATTTTTAAAGGTAAAACATAAACATGGTCTCTAAAAAAATAAATATAGTACAAAACAAGAGGCTGGGGATAGATAGAGTTCAGTGGTTCCACTGCCTGCCTTGCAAGCACAAGGTCTTGAGTTCGATCACCAGTACCACTGGTACAAAACAATATGGAATGAAAAATAATTTCTTTCTCTCAGATGTAACTATGCTTAGCACAGCTCTCATGAACTCTTACAAAGGCAAATATACACATGCATAAGTATATAAATATAGCTAAACGTGGTGGCACAGGAAGCTGAAGCAGGAAGATCGCTGCAAGATTAAGGGTAACCTCAGCTACATAGCAAGTTCAAGGTCAGCCTGAACTGCAAAGAGAGACCCTGTCTCAACAAAATAAAACAAAAAGTATATACATATATATAAAAATACAAAGTGGTAACATACTACTTTCATGATCTTTATCTTTGTTATATCAGAAGTCATTTTACTGTAGTAGTAGATGCAAAGCTGTTTTTGTTTCTTTTCAAATAATTGCAGGGTATTTCTTTCTTTCTTTTTTTTGTGCCAGGAATCCAACTTGGGTCCTTGCGCTTGCAAGGCACGCAGCAGAACCACTGAGCTAAATCCCTGGCCCACTGCAGGGTATTTCAATGTATGACTGTACCATAACAAGTGTTCTTATATTGCCAATAATCAGATTATAAATTAACTGACTAATTCAGTGATGGTGAACCTTTTAGAGATTTTAATGATACAAACAGCCCACCGCAACATGTGTACCACATGTTCATCACCAATGAAAGGGAGAAGGAAAAAAAAACAACTGTCTTGGGCTGGGGATTTAGTTCAGTGATTCTACCACCTGCCTCGCAAGCCCAAGATCCAAAAACAATGGTACCGCAATCTCCGGTACCAAAAACAAACAAAAAAACTGTCTTGAAAAATGACAGGCTCAGCAAACAAATTCCACTTTGGAAGTCATAAAACTGATCCTATAATAAAAATGTGATACTGCATGTTTCTAAGAAAAACTGCATTTAATTTTAACTCCATTCTTGGCTTCTCATATTTTATTTTGTGACTACAAAGGATTAGTTTGAAGTGTTCTTATAGATAGTAATTTACACTTCAACAGAGAATACACTGATTTCATCATGTTTTCCTTTCTGATTTTGTAATGATACTTATACTCTCAACAGAAAACTTCCACTATAAATTTTGTATTTGATTACAAATAACTGTTACAACAATCTTTGTGCTACCTAATGATTTTATTCCCATTTTACAGGTCTTCTAGATGTTAAATAATTTGCCCAAGGTCACAAACCTAATATATATATATATACACACATCATATATTTGTATATAGACATATATAATGAAACCAAAATTTGAATCATATTTTAGTGACTTTAGCGCTTAGTACATGATTAAATTACATGATTAAAACAAATACAAAGATTAAATTATTAGATATTGAAAAGTAAACAAGATTATACCAAATTTGCTTAAATCAAAATTTAGCATCTTTCCTACCACTAATGAAAAAAAAAATAAATTCCATTCCTAAATATATGGTTAATAAAGAAAACCTAAAATTACTTTGAAGAAATGTTCATCTTATAAAATTTTATAAATTTCAAACTTAAAGCTACACACACACACACACACACACACACACACGCACACACACCAGAAAGAACAAAGTAGGAGAGAGATAAATAGGACGTAAGGAGAAATTAAAATACTTCCCCAAATTATATATCCCTATTCCCCAAATTATATATCCCTTTATTTTATTTTATTTTATTTATTTGTTTATTTATTTATTTTTGGCACCGAAGATTGAACTCGGAACCTTGCACTTATGAGGCAGGCAGTGGAACCACTGAGCTAAACCCCCAGCCCACACTGTTTTAAAAGTAACATATATGCCAGGCCAGGGATTTTGCTCAATGGTTCCACCGCCTACCCTGCAAGCACAAGGACCCAAGTTCAATCTCTGGTACCAAAAACAAATAAAAATAAAAATAATAATAATAATAATAATAATAATAATAATAATAATATGCATGCCAATTTATTTCATTTATAAGTTTATCTTAATTTGTTGAAAAGAACGTTTGTGTCATTATGTTTCTTTTTTGTAAGCACCATTTTGGTTTATGTCTTGTACTACTTTGAAAGCAAGAATACACAGTGTAGTAACTATTGGTACTCTTATTATTTGACTATGAAAATGTTCATTTTTTCACAAAATAAGAAAAAAAATTTTTAAACTTTGTGTGTATGTTATACTGAACCCAGGGCCTTTGCAATAAGTTATAACACTCACCCTTTTTGCTTTTTATTTTGCAATACAGTCTTGCTGTCACTCTACTAAGCTGCTAAATTGCCCAGGTTGGACTTGAATTTATAATCGTCCTGCCTCAGCCTTCCAAAGTGCTGGGATTACAGGCATGTGCCAACATACCCAGCTAAAAGCAAACAAAAAAAGAAAAAGAAAATAATTGATTGCTGCATCACAAGTGTTTATACCTATCTAACCAATATTTTAATATCTAAATTGTCAAGGTACCTCATATTCTAAAGCTAAAGCTATCAAAAACAAACAAAAAAAAACTGCAAACAAAACTTAATTTCAAATACCACCAATCAAGGCTTTAAAAAAAATCCAATTGAAAGTTCTGATTATAACCTAAATACATTTCCTTTGAATCTGTTCCAAGCAAAGGGAAGAAAAAATTTTTTGTTGTATTGGAAGAGAATAGTGAAGTTATATAAAATCTAACTTTTTCTGAAGTAAATTAAAACTTTTTAAACTACAAATGTATTAAAAAGCTACTTTAAAATAAGATTCATTGCAGAGTAATTGTGAAAGTCAATTTTAAAAATAATAATCTTTAGTCAGGAGTGATGGTGCATATTTCTAATCTTAGCAATCTGGGAAGCTGAGACAGAAGGATCACAAGTTGGAGCCCAGCCTGGGCAATTTAACAACTTAGTGATTTAGAAAACCTCATCTCAAAAAATCAAAAGGCCCAGGAATGTAGCTCAATGTGAAGGCCCTGAGTTCAATCCTCAGTTCTAAAAAATAAAAAATCATACATCATTATATCTAAAGTTGGCATCAATTTTAAGATTAAATATTTAGATTTTTGTTATAATTCTGTCCAAATTACATAAATGCTGATTGCTACAATGAATGTCCTTATAGAAAAGCTTCTGTACCCAATCCTTATTTATTTCCTTAAATTGTTAGAAATGAAATAAATAGGTCAAGGTTCTTTTTTTCAGACTTTTGGTAAATATTTCTAAGTTATCTTTAGTTACATTCCATCTGGTTGGTCCCATTCACTTTAATCTTTTTTAATTTGAGAGATAAAAAAAATTCTTTTATATTGTTTTAACATGTCTTTGATTTGGTTAGCACAAGAAAATAATTAACTAAACAGCCAAATTGTGGAATACAATGTAGCTACAATACATATGAGAGATATTTGTAGGTACTAGCATGAACCAGTCAAGAAAGATTATCATAATAAAAAACACAAGCCACAGAATCATCTTATGACAGAAATTCTTTTATGTAGAAAAATAAAGGAAAGGACCGGGAATTTAGCTCAGTGGTTCAGTGGCCTGCCTTGCAAGCGCAAGGACCTGAGTTCAATCCCCGGTACCAAAAAAAAAAAAAAGAAAAGAAAAAGAAAAAGAAAGGAAAATCTTATAAAAATTACCATATATAAATGCATACTTTTTATGCACACAGAAAAAAGGTCTGGAAGATCATATAACAAATTGCTAATGCTTACATAGGATCAAGAATAGGAGTTTGAAATCCCAGCACTCGGGATGCCAAGCCAAAAGAATCACCAGGAATTCAAAGTTAGACTAAACTCTACATAGTGAGACCTTCACTAAATAGACCTTCAAAAAAATAACAAATTTTAAAAAGAGTTTGAATGGAAGATACTGCTTACATTTTTTATAACTATGACAAGAAAACCCTTAAAAGTAACAGCAGCCATATATTATTTCTATTACTGAGAGACCCACCTCTTTTTGTGGTGTAATGTATCAATTGTCTAGCATTCACATTATCAATAAGACTAATTTAGCACCTTTTATTTATTTATTTTATTTATTTTTTGGCACTTGGGATCGAACTCAGGTCCTTGCGTTTGTGAGGCAGTTGCCAGAACCACTGAGCTAAATGCCCAGCCCTAGCACCTTTTAAAATTATCTTATTTTCCTCAATATGTTCCTAATTCTACCTAAATATTTTTGACTCATTAAAACCACTCAATTCTGTTAAGCAACTTCAGAAAAATAAGAACTTGAGAATCTCTTTACGTTTTTGGTTTTCTAAACATGAAAATTTTTAATTAAAAAAAAAACTCCAAAAAGACTAGCTTGAATAGAGAAGGAGGAAAATAAATTTCCTAGCCTTCCCCATCATTTATATTTGTTGAGAAAAGAACAAGTCTTTTCACAAAATTATTTTCTTTGTCCTGGCATATACTTATTCATGCCATGCATAATCTCAGAAGTGTTTGAAATTACCTATGCTCAAGATATTATGTCAAGATTATCATCAATAGTTATAAACTAAAGAAAAAACAACTTATATAATATCAAATACAGTAACTTATTAAGTCATATAAGGGTGATGAAGCATGCTCTTGAAATAATATTATTTAAGGCAGTGCCTTTTTAAAATGGCACTCTATTAATCTGTTTTACAACCCTGCAGATAACTATTTGTATGTGTGGGAGTAAATGAACATAGAATACAAACCAGGAGTGATATTTAGTTCATTTCCTACAGCTAGACTCCAAACTTTCCCACGAACACTAGGGGGCAATCCCTGCCACCACAATTCTCGAACTCTTCTTGTACTACGCCTAGAATTAAAGGAGGAGAGAAAAGGAGAAAGTTATTTACTTTTTATACCAAAAATACTAGTTGAATGATGGTTTACCTACGACCAATTGACCAGATGAGTTTTAAGAACACAGTTAAGTATATAACGCATTCATTCTCCCTTTGTTTTTGTTTGTTTTGTTTTTGGTACTGGGGATCAAACTCAGGTCCTTGTGCTTGCGAGGCAAGAACCACTGAGCTAAATCCTTGGCCCTCCCTTTGTTTTTTATGTTTACAAGCAAGAAAAGCCTACAAAATACAAATTACTTCAAAGAGAGACAATAGTTCTTAAAAGGGCCTTGCCTTTGAGAGATGCCATTTACACAATAAAAGATGTGGAGAATTATCCAAAACATTGGACAAAATGGACATAAACATGTTTTGCCAATTCAGTATCAAATGTTAAATCACCATCAATCTACTCTGAGTAAAGCATTAAGCTTTAAGAGGCAGTAGTTTGCCAAATGAATTTAGGCTTTTGAGTCGGCCAGACTTGAGTTCAAATCTAGTTTAATTCATTATTGTATAACCTTGGGCAAATCACTTAACCTAACCTTAAGCTTCCCTGTAATATAAATGTTTGAGTAAAAAATAAATACATATAATCTTATAAAAGTTCAAAACAAGAGCAATTACTTATGTAAAGAGCTGAAAAGAATATAGCAGTCCCCCTGCCCCCAATATGCAGGGGATAATTCCAAATCCTCTAGTGGATGCTTGAAACTATGGTTAGTAACAAACTCAATGATACTACATTTTTTTGCCTATGCATATACACCTATGATAAAGCTGAATTTATAAATTAGACATAGTAAGAGATTAACAGTAGTAATCAATAACTAAAAGAACAGTTATAACAACATGCTCCATAATAAAAAGTTATCTGAACGTGGTTTCCCACTGTCTCTCAAAATGTCTTTTCTCTTAAAGGACAGTATCTGAATTGCCAGCATCCCCACTCTTGTGCTTGGGGCCATTATTAAGTAAAATAAGATTTATTTGGACATAAGCACTGCGGGGCCATTATTAAGTAAAGTAAGATTTATTTGGACATAAGCACTGCAGTGCCTTGATAGTAGACCTAAAAAATGAAACCCTATTAACCCTATTATGATATGCTAGTCAAAGGGGATAATTTATAACCAGGACAGAGCAGGAGGGCACAGGGTCTCATCATTGTCTCAAAATGGTACACAACTTAAAACTGATTAATTATTTATTTCTACTTGGCGGGGTACCGGAAATCGGACTTGGGACCTTGCATTTGCGAGGCAGGCATCAGAGCCACTAAGCTAAATCCCCAGCCCTGGAATTTTCTATTCACTATTTTCAGACCTCATATGACCAAAAGGTAACTGAAACTACAGAAAATGAAACAAAATAAAGGAGCCTACTGTATCTGTCACGCAACCAATATTCAATAAATTTTCAAAAGCATTGCTGAGATGTCCCAATCCTATATCCATAAACAAAAAATAGCAAGGGCCAGGGATTTAGATCAGTGGTTCCCGTGCCTGCCTTGCAAGCACAAGGGTCCATGTTTGATCCCTGGTACCAAAAAAAGATACCCCCGCAAAAAAGCAAAACATTTAAAAAAAGCAGGAAATGTAAGTTTCAATGGTGAGACATTTTCAGAAGAGAAAATCATATATAACACGATCCTCGATGAGAGGCATATTAAAAATACTTCAATATTTAACAACTGATAAATACATCTTATAACAAATGTAAACTATTTAACATGTTCTTTTTTAAAAACCTGTCATTACATCAAATAGTGCATCTTACAATTAATGGTATATTAGAACTTAAAGTATGGTAACTGAAGAAACTGAAAGATTCATGAATCAATTAGTATTTTGAAGGGGCTGGGGATTTAGCTCAGCAGTTTGTTCCCCAGTAACCCCCCAAAAAATTAGCATTTTGCATGGGTCACAAAGAATGGATAAGATTTTTGATAGGCATAGAGAATAGTAAGAGAAATGCATATTAGATCCTGCAGAGTTTATAAAAAGAAAAACAGAGATAAGTGTAGAGATTTTTCAGGGATTGGTTAATAGTATTACTTAGCCAAAAAATAAGATACATGCTGGGAAGTAATAAAAATATAAAATTGGAAAGACAAGATCTTTGGAGACAAACTAAAATTCAGGAAAAGTCTGCTTACTTACATTACTTCCCAATTGGGCAGTATTTCATTGATCCAAATTACCATTGCATTTGCAATATTTTCTTCCTGTTTAAATCGTTCTCTCATTATTCTTTTTCTTTTATGTGCTTCTTTAATTTCTGTTTTAAATAAGTAAGAATTATTTCAATACAAATGAGTTAGATCAAAACTCCTTTCTTCTTCTACCTAACTCTATAAAGGAGGATTTTTCAAGTAGAATCTCTGGATAGTAGAAAGGAAGAAAGGGAGGGAAGAAAAGAAAAATAAAATGACTTTGATTAACATACTTTTAAAATAACACCTTAAATGAAATAATGGCCAGAAAAATCACTTCAGTAAATTGCTCTATCATATATTTTTTTTACTTAAAATATGAAGTAAAATCTGTTATGAATTTAAGCATGTAAAAAATACCTGTCTTGCAAGTACAGGATCAGAGTTCGATCCTCAATACCAAAAACATAAATAAATTAAATAAACATCTTGAAAAACTAGTCAATATCCATTTTTTATACAAAGGGTTTAAGAATCTCCTAACATAAGCCACATAACATTAAAAGTGATTTTGCCAATGGTACCAATAGTAGATGAACGCTTTTTAAAGAGTGAGTGAAATAAAAACTTTCCTCAAAAATTTGTACAAACAATACAACTTTTTTTTTTGGTTTTTTGAGACAGGGTCTCACTATGTAGTTGAGACTGACCTGGAACTCACTATGTAGCTCAGGCTGGTCTCGAACTCACAGCAATCCTCTTGCCTCAGCATCCTGAGTGCTGGGATTAGAGGCATACACCACCACGCCCAGCTACAATACAAATCTTTATAAAGGGTGACTGAAATAAGAACTTTCCTCCAAAAATCACATATACAAACAGTATAACTGTAGAAAGACACCAGAGGTCACAATTTTGGAGGAAGACCAGCCTCAATACTACAGACATGTAAGTTATAAGTCAAAAGTTATATATGTATAATTCTAGAACCAGTGAGGACTTCAGAGAATTGTTAGCCAATCTGTTTTCTATGTTTTATATATTTCTTAGAAATTATCTTTAGGGGCATGCAGCAGGTTAAGTAACCAACTTCAATAGCTTTTGTTTTATGTATGCAGATTCTATGTAAGATGCCTTGGGAGATTCCACTAGTTAAAAAAAACAATAAAATGTGTTGAAGAAGAGGCTTAAAAAACCTGATCTAGTCAATCTCCTAACTCTAAATCTATTCAGAATATCAGAGTCAGAAAATTTTAAACAGTATTCAAGGTATAGCCTTCTTATTTCCAAATTTAATATATTTCTATTCTGTTATTTGGGGGATCATTTACTTTTTTTTAGTACATGTTTGCAATACATAATGTATACATTTATCATAAGAAGTTGGTAAATACACATATTGCATCTTAGTCCTTTTTTTATTTCCTCTTCGCTCTCTATCCTTAGATCCCCTTCCAGGATCATCTACATATCAATAATTATTTTTACATATCAATCAAACAGTAGAGTTAATGTTAAGAAACAGGTAGACATGGTGTTCTTAGTATTCAGGAGGCTGAGGCAACAAGATCTTGAGTTCAAGGTCACTTCAGACTATATAGCAAGAGCCTATCTCAAAAGTCCAAAAAAGGCCAGGAATTTAGCTCAGTAGTTCTGCCACCTGCCTTGAAAGCACAAGGTCCTAAGTTTGCTCGCTGGTACCAAAAAAAAAAAAAAAAAGTTAAAAATTCCATAAAAGTTAAGAATCAATAAAAATATAGTAAGTTATAAATATTTTAAATTCTGTAAGGTAAAATAAAAATCAATTAATCTTTAATGAATTAGGCATTTTTGGAAAACTATAAATGGCCTTAAATATCCGTTTAATATATAGAATGAATTTCATTTCCAAAACAGTAACATAGAACAAAACTGTATACTATTATAATATTCTACTCACTTAAATCAAAGAAAGAACAATCAGTTGTTACTCAAGGTATAGATCTAAAAATATAGGCAGCTGTCTAATATCTTCTAAAAATGTATATTTATCCTAAACTAACATAGTCAGTAAATAATAAATTATCCTTATATTATTTTTGGTTGCAGAAGTAAATGCATGAAATATGTAAATTTATACATTAAAAGACAAAACTGTGACTATAGACTTTACAAGTCACAAAAATAAATGTGAGCTTTAAATTATATTCTCACTGCCATTTAGAACATTATCTCACAATGTCATTATTAAATTATAAAATCAAGACTAATAAGCACTATAAAAAATAAAATGCACAAATAAATTCATGAATATTTTCATTTAAAATTTAAGATAGTAACAGCCCAAGTTTTATGACTAAAATTTCAAGATTCTTTGTAGAGTCTGCTGCCTTTCACTTATATTAGTTTTATAAAAGTACTTAGTAGGCCCTTCATCCAATCCCTAGCAATGAAGAAGCAAACAAACAAGAAAACTAATTAAAAAATAATAAATAAAAATTCACTATCTACTCAAGGACAGCCTTGATCTATTTCATTAGCCATCTTCCTATAGAAACTAATTAATGTTATATGGTATCTCTTCATTTGAGTAAGGCAAAGTACAAAGAGCATAATAAAGGATGGATAGAAGGAAACAAGGGGAAAGATCTCTTGCAAACAGGAAGAGTCTAGGAGACTGAGCTAGATGAGAGAGGAAAAGGATATGGAAAAATTAAAATATGTGATGTGCAGGAACCTCAGTGAATGTAAACATTATATGTCATAAACATGAGCTAGGAATAATAATAACAATAAAAATGAAAATGGCAGAGGAAGGGAGAGGAGTGGGAAAGGGGACAGGATGAAACGATTATGTACATGTAACCACTCCCCAAGATGAACATAAACTTCATTTACCGTAACACATACTACCAAACTAAAAAAAAAAAGTAAATAAAAAAATCAGTAAATCATACCAAATATATTTGGGGGGGTGGTAGTATTGAGGAGTAACCCATGGCATTTGCACTGAGCTACACTGCAGCCTTAGTTTACATTTCTATTTTCAGCCAAAGTCTTCTTTAGTTGCCCAGGCAGGACTCAAATTTAGGATCTTCCTGCCTCAGCTTCCCAGAGTACTGGGATTACACTTGTTCGCCACTAAAACTGGCTCTAAAGTTAAATTTTATACCTCGTTTTTCCATCATAAATTCATATAAACCACAAGAAACCTAGCAAAAGCAACCCTGGATAACAAAAGCAAAACAGGAGGCATCACAATCCTGGATTTGAAGTTATAGTACAAAGCTACAGTAATAAAAACAGTATAGTACTGGCACAAAACAGACATTTGGATCAATGGAACAGAAAAGAGGAAGCAGACACAACCTTAGGCACATTCAGCTATCTGATCTTTGACAAAGAGGCCAAAAACATACACTGGAGAAAAGAGAGCCTCACTAATAAATGGTGCTGATAAAGCTGGCTATCCACACGTAGAAGACTGAAGGTAGACACATATATCTCACAACGTAGTAAACTAAAAATCAAACTGGATCAAAGACCAATATGTTAAAACAGAAACAGTCTGCTGGAATATAAAATAGGTAAAACTCTTGAAGACATGGGGTAGACAAGGACTTTCAGAACCAACTCCGATGGTCCCAAGAATCAACAAATGGCATCATATCAAATTAAAAGCTTTAGGGCTGGGCTGGGGATTTAAGTCAGTGGTTCTGCTGCCTGCCTTGCAAGCACAAGGTCCTCAGTTCGATCCTTGGTACTGGAGGAAAAAGAACTCAAAAACTTTAGACACCACTCCCCAAATAAAAGATCCAATAAAAAATAGGCAAGTGAAATGAATAGATATTTGTCAGAAGAAGTACAAATGGCCAATAAATACATTTTTAAAAATGTTCAACATTACTGGCAATTAGAGAAATGTAAATTAAAACAACAGTGAGATTCCACTTTACTCCAGAAAGAACAGCTATAATAATAAAAAAAAAAATCAAATAATAATAAATGCTGGTGAAGCTGCAGGGAAAAGGGAACTCTTCTACACTGTTGGTGGGAATGTAAACTAGTGCAACTACTATAGAAATCAATATGGAGATTCCTCAAAAAATTAATACTAGAAATTCCATTTGATCCAGTTATTCCCCGTCTAGGTATCTTTCTGAAAGTCTTAAAGACACCATATTACAGAGAAACATGCATATCCATAGCAGCCAATTCATAATCGCTAAATCATAGAAATGGCCTATATGTCCATCAGGAGATGAAGGGATAAAGAAATGTTGTATTTGTATTTATACAAACTACTCTCTGTCAAAAAGGATAAACTTGAGTCATTTGTAGGTAAATGAATGCAGCTTGAGACAATATTAAGTGCAATAAGTCAGACACACAAGCTTAAATACCACATGGCTTCTCTTACATGAAAAACCCAAAATATGAATAAAGGGCAAAAGAATAGATAATAGGAAGTAGAGAGATCTTTTTCAAAAAAGAAAGGGAACAAGAGATGTAGGGATGAGGTTGGGAAGGGTGGGAAGGAGGGAAAAAAAAGAACTGGGGGAAAAAAATGGAGATAGAGCTTTTGCAGGCCCAAGAGATAGAATGAGAAAGGAGGGAAGGGAAAGGCAGAGAATGAAAGAAGAATTAGGATGTATTGTGTACATGTACCACCACCCAACAATAAATGTAACCATTATGTACTAGAAACATGTACTAATAAAAATCAAAATTAAAAAAACAAACAAGAAAAAAATTTTATACCTCGTTTTTTAGCCTCAGCCACCATCTCATCGTATTCTTGTCGATGACGTAAAGCTTCTTCTACAGATTTAGCAGGAAGATTTCTGGGGAAAAAAAAACACATTTGGTCAAGTCAATTTCTGAAAGATCAGCATTTAAATTACATATTACTTTTTCAGAGCTACATGCAAAAAATTGCTACCTTTCATACATTGATAAAGTGAAGCACATTAAGAAAAAACTTGCATTTTGGAAAAGAATCAGAATCCCAGTTCGTAGTATTTTATGTATATATTATATATATGTTTCATGTGTCTATGACTTTTTATATATTTAATTAAACATTTTATATTTTAGTCAATATTTTAAGTAATTTATAGATTCACTATTTAGTCAATTTTTTGAATTATAATTTATGCACAAACAAATGAATATTTATTTAAGAGTAGTCTGCTAAATTCTGGAAAATGTATATATTTGTGCAACCAACATACCAATTAATATGTAGGAACATTTCTTTCATACCACAAAGTTTCCTTGTGAAGTATGTGCACCCAGTATTTACCCATATCCCATCTTCTGAAATCCCATCTCTGATTTCTATCACTGTACATCAATTTGTTGACTTTAAACTCTAATTTTCTCTTGTTCAACTTACTTTTAAAAATTATCCATGATACATTCATTACATATTCCTTTTAACTACTGAAAAGTCTTCCATTTATCCACATGGATAGACATTTGGGTTGTTTCCAGTCTGAGGCCATTATAAATAAAGCCATTGTAAGTGTAAATATGTTTTCATATGGGCATTGTTTTCATTTGTTAGTAAATACCTACGGGTAAAATTCTTGGGTCACATGGTATGTACAGGGACACCTTTATGCTAACTGCCAAAATGCCTTCTACTTCTTAGTGTTTTTTTGGTTTTTTTTTTCCCCCTGTACTAGGGATCAAATTCGGCTCCTTTTGCTTGCAAGGCAGGAGAGGAACCACTGAGCTAAATCCCCAGCCCGACTTCTTAGTGTTTTAATATGACATTCTCCCTAAGAATTTGTCAATTAGTCCTTTACATCTGTATCCATTTTGCTTTATCAGTTTAGTGGATTCATAGTCAGTCACACAAAAATGCAAAAGCAACCTGCATTTGTGTATTACCACAGAAACACCCAGTTTTAAAGTTGTTTTCTTTCTTTTCAAAAAGCTAGAATGGGGAAAGGTATGTGACAAACTTTCAAAGCATACTTCTACCTCTTCTTTCCTTTAAGATTTAGTCAGATTTCTCAGATAAACTTCTGTTTTGGGACACAGTGGAATAAGATGGGCTGGGTTCCCTCTTTTATCTTAAACAACAGTTTTCAGATAATAAGTAGCAACACAAGACAGTGATCTTTATGAAGAGACAAATAAGGTAGCCTTAAGGTTCCTGACCTTATTACCTGGAGTTTCCAGGTCTTAGTGGTGAAAGAGAGTAAAGAAACAGGCCCAATCAGCCCTCCTAAACTGAGGGAACAATATGGAGTTTAGAGAGTCCACTATAGCTAGAATTTGCCCCTCCAAGAATCAGAAAGAAGGTTGCTGCAGAGAAGTCCTCCCAAGTCTTCAGCTGGGTATTAGTTGTGTATGCGTGTGTAGGGGTGGGTGTGTACACATCCATATATGTGTGTGATTAAACTATGGCAAAGAAAAGAACCTCCAGAAAGTTGACAGGACAATTTCAAAGATCACATAGGACCAGCCAGGGTAGAAAAACCTACGATGACAATTATCAGATAGAGCCTGTCTGTAGAAAGGCACTACCTCTAAACTAAAGACTATTCTGCAATACAGAATAGATCAAATAAATTAAGCCAATTCCAAGTAATTTAACAGCCTACCAGACTAAGGCTAAAAAACATTTGAAAGAGTATAAAATATTGAGTATCCAAATACGTAAATTATAGTATCTAATATTCAATGCAAATTAACATAAGTATGAAAAAATAACACATAAAGAAGAAAAATCAATTAACAGTAAAGACACTGAAATGTGCAGCTAACCGGTTTATAACAAGGATAACAAAATGTAAACAGAATACACAAACATTTAAGAAGACAGAAGAAATCATGAAGAGAATGAGAGAAGCTCAGGACCTATACACTTGTATAGGTGAAAACTACAATTTCTAAAATGAAAAAACACAAAATAAGACTGACAGCAAATTATACACTGAAGGAAAAAAATTAGTTAAATTAAAAACATAATGATGTTAAAAACCATAAAAAATGAAATACATATAGAAAAAAGGCACCAAAAAAGAAAGAGAAAGCCTAAATGATCTGTGGTACACAGAACAATACCAAGGAACATAATATATTAAATATTATCTCAGAAGAAAGGATGGAGAAACCAGAATGGAAAATGATTAAAGACTAAAATTTTTCTGAAGTTGACAGAAGACAATAAATGAAATATGCATTAAGTTCAGGAAATCCCAGGCAAAAAGAACATGAAAACCACACCAAAGCACAACATAATCACACTCAGGAAAACTGAAGATAGAAAAAAAATATTAAAAGCACTCAAAAAGAAAAAATTTATGGACAACAGAGACCAGCACTGCAAAAAAATGGTAAAAGAACCTCAGGCAGAAGGAAAATAACACCTTGTAGAAATTTGTAGTAGTAAAGAACACTGACAGTCCATGATGTGATCCAGAAATAGATCCAAAATATCTCACTGAATACTTTTATTGAACCATTTATAAGAATGGATGACTATGTATATGATATTTAACAATGACTGTGGAAAAATAACAAATATACTGAGATTGGCTAGCTCCTCTTAATATTGAAAGACAATGTAGAAAAAAAATGAATTCAGCTCCAACACTACATAAATGACTAAAGCCTGTTTGTCCCCTGAATAAGAAAGACCCTTATCTTCAGGCTGAGTCTGCAAAATATCAAATGCAGTATCTCATGCTGTGACTGGCTGAACTGTAATAGAAATTTAATAGAAATGAACTACGAACTTCATGGAATGTTTCCTGTTAAGAGTAAGGGTGTAGGGCAGGGATTTAGTTCAGTGATGCCACTGCCTGCCTCACAAGTACAAGGTCCTGAGTTCAAACCCCAGTACAAAAAAAAAAAAAATAAGGGTGCTGACTGGGAATGAATGGGGTTGCGCAAGATGGACTGGGTATGCATAGGAAAACCCTGATGAAATTGAGGACATTGAGCCTCTAAACTCTGATAAGCCTTCTTTGTCAGTAGATGAGGCCTTTTCATTCCCAACTAAAAAAAAAAAAATTAATTCTTCACTAACTTAGGAAACCATAATGACCTCCTCTGAGGCAGATGCCCAGGAAGGTAATGCTGATTCTCCTCAGCACCCAAATTTTAATGCCCCTCTTTACTTCTAGACATGTAACTAGATTCAAGACCCAGCAAGCAGGTCCCTCAAATTGAAGTACAAAATGAAATCCATTAGAAACTATACTACATTTCAAAAGAACCACTCAAACTGGGCGTGGTGGCGCACACCAGTAATCCCAGCACTTGGGAGGGTGAGGCAGGAGGATAGCTGTGAGTTCGAGACTAGCCTGGGCTACATAGTGAGTTCCAGGTCAGTCTCAACTATGTAGTGAGATCCTTTCTCAAAAAAACAAAACAAAACAAAACACAAAAAAAAAACCAAAAGAACCATTCAAGTTTTCTAATTCATACACAAAGAAATCTGGAGAATATATATGAGTACGGATAGAATAGTAACAGTGTAGTCTAGTCTAGTAATGGATACTAGAAAAGGTAGATCAAGGACTAATGCTGAACAAAGTTAAATTAGGACAAATTTACTGATATGGGCTCACTAACAAGATTCTGCATTAGTACTGCAGCTCAAGAAGTTAGAAAGGGCTAACAGCTTGTTTGGTTTGTAAGACCTAAATTACAAGCCCATGCTAAATGACAAAGGGCCTAGGAGACAGTGTTCTAACCCCCTCCCATTGTAGTCATAGCTCCGACCTTTGATCAAACCCTGGCTTAGGAATGTAAGGCAGTCTTACACTGTTTAAAGTCAGGATCTTGATTAACATGTAAGTTAGTGGTTCTAGACTATGAGATACATAGAGACCCCAAGTTAATTGTTGAACTTTTTGCTCATCCTAAATGTCTTGGTGGCCCTTGAACCATCCTATAGGTATCTGTTAATCATCAATGTGTGACTGCTGAGTATGTGACTGCTAACCACCAGCTCAAATCAGCAGAACTTTGTCCCCTGCCTGCAAGCTTAGAATGATAACCCCCCCTTTTAACCCCCCCTATAAAAAGGACCTCAGCCCCTGAGCTGGTGCCTCTCTGAGCTACCTGGTTCTGAGAGTGCCATCTGGCCGGACTAATAAAGGTCTATTTACCATCTAGCCTGGTGTGTTCCTTCCTGGGTTTCTCGTTCCTCCATCGGGCTCCGGGAGCCTCGCTAGGTCTTATGACCCAGCATCATGGAGGCCTTTTCAGCTGTTCATGCTCCGTGGAGTGTAAGTGAGACTCTGAGTCTTACAGGTTGTCTAAAATATGGGCCAAGCCAGGCATGGTGGCACATGTTTGTAATCTAAGCACTCAGGAGGCTGATGCAAGAAGATAGCCATAGCTTGAGGCCAACCTGGACAACACAGTGAGCTCAAGATTAGCATGAACTGCCTGCCATGGCATGACCCTGTCTCAAAAAATCCCAAATAAAATAAAATAAAAGATGAGCCAAAAGTGCCCCACAGTGAGTTAACTAAAAATGCCAGCGTTGGTCTAGTGTAAAGGAAAAGGTTCAAATCCTTAAAGAAATTAGGTATTTCTCATTTTAAATCTGCTTATTGGAGTTAAACACTTCAGGATATTCAACTTTTCAAATAGCTCTATGAGGTTTTTTTTTTCCATTGTGGTTTCATTTTTTTTTTTTTGATAATGAGTGTTAAACATGCTTATATTGATAGAGAACATTTTAATAGCAAAAAAAAACAACTAGGAAATGTCCCCATGTAAAACAACTTCTACCTTTTGCTCTGTTTAGTTCAGAATTAACCTGCAACAGAGGCACCTAGTTTCCTTAAAAAGTTTTGTAAATGAAAAGAACCATCGTTAATTTTGCTGCCCAGACACGCCCCCTTCCCTGGGCTAGAATAAAGAACTAAATGAATTTTAAAGGTAACCTTCGCTTCCAAAAAAGAGCTACATCCGCGTAGAAATTCAACTACCTCACCACCATGTTTTGAATACCAGCAGTGTGAACTGTGAAAATGCAATGTCACCACCTGAGTGAGATTAAGGCTGTAAAAGGGGGAGTTGTAATCCAGTGCATCATGGATCCAGGCACGGCTATGTTCGATCTACCCTCCTCGACGAGTACATTTTTGTTATTTTACTTCCATAATAATAATCTTACTAATTATTCTAAGTCCCAGAGTTCCCTTCTTCAATCATCATATATGCAAAATCCTGATGTATAGTTGGTGTTCAAAGTTTATGGCTCAAAGTTGAATGAATTGTATAGTAAATACCAAACCAATCTTTGATAGTTCAAGGAAGAGCAGAACTTCATTACTATAACCGCTAAATTAACTGTATGCTATATATACAGTGAATAAAGCATAAAAACAAATATATTTGTTGCTAGAGTTTTTTCCCAAAAAACTTGCCTCTTTTTTTCTGGCAATACTAGGGATCGCATCAGGGCATCTACCACCGAGCTACAACCCCAGCCCTTTTAATTTTTTGAGGCAGGGTCTCACTAAATTGCCGAGGCAGGACTAAAACTTGCTATCCTTTTGCCTCAGCCTCCCTCAGTGCTGGGATTATACCACACACCACTGCACCCAGCTGAAAACTCACTAATATTGTAGTCATTTGTTCTGGAGAAGTTAATAAAAAGATAGGCTTGTTCAATCTTGAAAACTTAAGGATGAATCAATATAATCAATCAAGAAATATGGGCCAGGGATTTAGCCCAGTGGTTCTGCCACCTGCCTCACAAGCACAAGGGCCCAAGTTCAATCCCCGGTACCAAAAAGAAAGAAAGAAATATTAGGTACTTCATTCAATATTCCTGACCATTACAAGAAAAAGATACAGCTTTTCAAATATGATTCTTACCTCTTATAAAAGTATAAATTAGTTACAGAATCAAGACAAGAAGCCACTAATGAATACTTAAGATAGTGCATATTAAATACATGGTGTGGACATTTGCTGCTTTTCAAAGATATATAAAAACCTGTACTTTACTTTTTGTCATCTTTCACTGTAAGACTCACTTCCACTCCACAGAGCGTGAACAGGCAAAAAGGCCTCCGCGATGCTGGACCCTAACACCCAGCGAGGCTCCGGGAGCTCGAGAGAGAAACTAGAAACCCAGGAAGGAACACACCAGGCTAGATGGTAAACAGACCTTTATTAGTCTGGCGCGAGGGCACTCCCGGAGCCAGGTAGCTCAGAGAGGCAACTGTTCAGAGGCTGAGGTACTTTTTATAAGGTTTTTCTAAACAAAGAGTCAGGGAATTCACAGAACAAGACTATAAACACATTACTTATCTTATACAGGAAATGTTCTACGGTCACCTTTTGTCAAACCATTTGCCCCTGGGCGGGCTATTAACCAAGATAACAATTAATATATAAAAAAACACAGTCTGACCTATTAACATAGAGTTACTTTAGCTTATTCAAGTCTTACATCACTTGCAACTTTCAGGATTTCTACTATTTTGTTTTGGCACTAGTGTGTATAGTTACTCAGTAAAGAAGCCAAAAGAAAAAAGGAGGTAGATAAATCCATTGCTGGTTTGTTTGTTTTTGTTTTTTTAAGTGCTATAAGCATCAGTGATTTGAGAAACAGAAGAGAGGCACACAGCAACAAAATCAGTTCATTTAACACTTAGTTTTTTCAAGGCTGTCTTGATTTTGAAGTAGATTGGAACAGGCAAAAGGAAAATAAAATAACAAAAATAAATATAAAATTAACAAAAGGCTGAAAATTAGTGTATTTGAAATCCCTAAGTAAAATTTCAGATAATTAAGACGTTAGATAATTAGATGCTATAATGACTCCATTTGTAAAGAAAAAATATCAAAAACCCTTGAAATCAAGGATTCTGGATGCTTCCACAAATTACAGAAACAAAGAAAGGAAAAGCAGAACCAATTCACAAACATCCTTTAGAGGGGGGAAATCTTTCTCTTTATATTACCACTTCACCCTATGGAAGAGATTATTCACCGATCAATTCCCTGCCTGTTTCAATCTGCAATCTGCATCAATCTGCCTCTTTCTTTAAGCCCCTCACAGATGAAACTTTATAGCTGATTCAGTGCTGTTACTAGTAATGGTTTAGACTCAAAAGCAAGACAGGCTATTTTGAACCTGCTTGCATCCAATAAACACAAGAAACCTGTAAGATTATCCAGGTCTCCATTCCAGCTTCTCAGTCCATAATTGGATGGGTGCTGGCTGGGCCCAATCTGGTAGGAGAGCATTCATGGAGAGATAAAGTGGGGCTTCCACTTAGTACTCAGGTTATATATATATATTTCCACCTGGTTTTATCCTCAATAAAATTCCTATATTCCAAAAACATAGAAAGACTGTTGGTTTTAGATACATAAATGTAAGTCACATAAATCACTTCTCTCCCCAAAATGGTCCTTTTAAATTTAAAACATAAAATTGTACATTAATTTACACATCTCAGAGTTGAGTGGAACAGAAACAAAAAAAAGCTACAGTATACATTATAATTAAAATTAATTTTAATTCAATAGTAGAGTAAAAAAAATAAAGTATACTTTTTGAAATACCATGATGTCTTATAAAGTTATGTCTAGCATAATATGTAAAACCAATTTCATGGAACATTATTTCAAGGAACTACAGCACATGTTTTAAGAAAATAAAATTCAGGAATTTAGCTCAGTAGTTTCTTCCACCACCTGCCTCACAAGCACAAGGTCCCAAGTATGATCCCCAGTACCAAAAGAAAGAAAAAGGAAACTTTATAGAAGCAAGTATCACTTAAGACTGAAGAAGTCAAGAAAGACTTTATAGGGCCGGGGATTTGGCTCAATGGTTCTACCGCCTGCCTCGCAAGCACAAGGGTCCAAGTTCAATCCCCAGAACCAAAAAAAAAAAACACAACAACAACAACAACAACAACAAAACGAAAAACAAAAATAAATAAATAAAGACCATATATATGACAACCCTAGCTCTTAAAGTACTAAGCTGGAGAGAGGTAGAAATAAGACAAGTGCATTCTAAGTAAGGGTGATAACATAATAGTCACGAAGGCAAAAAGAAATGGGTGTGAAACATATTGTAGTACAAAGAAAGATTGGTCTAGAACAGAACTTTTTACATGACATATGCCTTTTTTATTTTTTGTTTTGTTTTATTTTTTGAGGCAGGATCTCCCTTTGTAGTTCAAGTTGGACCTTAATGCACTATGTATCCAGGCTGGACTCAAACATACAGCAACCCTCCTGCCTCAGCCTCCCAAGTGTGACGGATTATAGGCATGCACCACCACCCCTGGCTTGACATGATATTTTCAAAAGCTCTTGGAAAGACATTACAATAATTTTTTTAATGTATTTTTCAAAAAAGTATTTATATCCCCACTTCTCTTACAATGTCTAAAAAATATTCTACCTCTCCCTGTTTGGCTCCAGATTCTTTATTTCTCTACATCAGGATAATAGATACAAACCAGAAAAATTACAAGCCTAGAAAATTTTACATTGGAAGAAAAAAGAATTTTAATAAAAGAAAAAAAAATCCCAAAAGCCCAAGGAGGGGAATAGGAGTTCAGAAACAATTAAGATGCTATGCTAAGTATTAAGAACAGATGCTTGCTGGGCAGGGATGCAGCTCAGTGGCTCCATGCCTACCTGGCAAGCACGAGACCCTGAGTTAGATCCTGCCCCCCTAAAAAAGAATAGATGCTTTGCTGAGGATTGAATCACCAGCCTTGTGCAAGCTAAGCACATTCTCCACCTCAGAGCTACATTTCTAGTCTCTAAAAACAGATTTTCAACAATACTAAATCAATTGGTTGACAGTAGTTATATGATTTAAAGGGTAAGGGACAAGTGCATCTTAAATACTATGCATATTAAATGTCAAGAAAAAAAAATAATGGCCCCATCATATAAGATATGAAGCAGAATTGAAGCAGACATATACAGCCAACTCTTGTTTTTTCTTTATTTTGTTTTTCTGAGATAGGGTTTCACTATGCTGACCAGGCTAGTCTCAAACTTATGGGCTCAACTGATCCTCTTGCCTCACCTTCCAGCGTAGTTAGGACAACAAACAGGCATGTACCACCATCCCTGGCAAGTTTCATATTTTGGCCCATAGACACTTCTAGAAAATATGCATAAGGCTTCTACATCAACAATATGTTCTCACCTATTTTAGGATGCATTACTGGAATTTAAAATTTAAAAATAAAATAAATCCTTTGTTCTATCTAATTTCTTGGTATTTTTTAAGTGAAACAGTGAACAAAATTAAATCTAAGTTTAAAATATAAATGGCATTCCTTATAATCACTAAAACCTGTACTTACGATGGTCGGTCCTCAAGAATCAGGGCAGTGGTAGAAAGTGGCTCAAATTCAAAATTTTTACGTCTTGAAGACTGAGTTGATGGTTTACAGGTCCTCCCCGTTCGTGCTTCATATTCCTAGAATACATAAGAATATATAGTTTATGTAGTAACTGTTCCAATTTTAAGTTCATATTATTAAACCTGCAACACTATTATGGTATAATATGGAATACATAAGAGCCACACAGTAATTTGGTAAAAATATTAGGTACAAAAAAAATCATTTTCCTGGAGTACCTAAATTATGAATTTATGTTACATGCTAAGTATGCTAGGAAAAGGAAATACAAAAATATAGCAGATTTATTAGGAAAGGTTTTAGGGACATTTTTACTGTTTTCTATGGTATCAGCTATCCAAGCTCAGCTTTAATAAGCTACAAGTAGATGAACCTACTTTCTGAGTTTTTAGCCAGATTAGCAATAGAAATATTGAGACAGGACAGAGAAAATTCCCTTGTAATATTTTGAAGATCTCTCTCAAAGGTGACATTAATCAAAATAGTATTGATTTCAATCATAAATCTAATTACAACAAATATACTTATTCTAAATTTAAATATTTTATTAGTACATATTATAAAAAAATATGGCCATAAATTTTCCTCTAAGGAAATGTTTTTAATATTTCATTAAATCACCAAACTTGATAATACCATTAACAGGAATGAAGTTCATCTGACATAATATGCTCTTGGTAGACATATTAAATGTCTCATTTAAGCATTCTTTAATAAATGCTCATAACTTTCTTTCTAGAAATTTGCCAAGGAGTAGTAACAAATTTATTGTGCTGTAATTTCTAGAACCCACATTTTCCCGTCTAAAAAACCAAGTAGCATCTGATGATCTCCAGGTGCCAATAAATTTTTCATGAAATTCTCAAGAATTACTCAACAATTCCATGAGTCATGCAAGTCCACTGGCATTCAGAACAGATACTGATTTACATTTAGAAAATTAAATGCATTTAAAGTGGTTAGATGTTTCACTTACTAGTAGCTTAAGTAGCATTGCCTATAATTTTTGTACTAATATTACACCTTTTCCAACTCAATTGCAAAATGTGAACTGAAGATAAAAAGATTTAAATTTTCTCATTTAAAAATTTGGTGATATTGAAACTAAATCTAATTTGAAACACAATTTTTTTTAAATGACTTAGGTTGTCTTTAAGGATTCTCTATAAACTTCACCTTCTTTGTGGCACCAGCCACTGTTGGTAAAGGTTTGTATTATTGTTTTAAAATTATCTTTAATTCTTTATCTCCCCTTCCTTTTACTAAATCTACACTGTTAATCTGAGCATTCCCTTGTATAACTTTATTGGGTTTTTACTGACTTTATTCTTCCCTCCCTTGCTAGCTATTGAACCCAGCCATATTCTCATCTCTTTTTGTTTTTTCATTTTGAACCAATGTCTCAATAAATTGCCCAAGGCCAGCCTCGAATTTTCAACCTTCCTGCCTCAGCCTCATAAGTAGCTGGGATACAAGCATGTGCCACCATAGGCAGTGAGACTTCTTTCTCAAAAATTTTGGGGGATTGTACGTGCTTGTGCTTACGAACTCCCATTCCAAAGAACCAACAAACAGCCTTTGAGAATCAAAACCACAGAGTCATTATATTCGGTTTGTCTTTACACCTTTCTTTCCTAACACCTAGGATATATGTGAATTTTTTTTCATTTTAAGTTTCAATGTAACAAATTCCTTTTCTGGTGAAGTTTTTCATATTAAAAAAATATATACTGCTTGCCATGGCACACGTCTGTAATCCCAGTACTTGGGAGTACACTGTGAGTTGAGACCAGCCTGGGCTACACAGTGAGTTCCAGGTCAGTCTCAACTACATAGTGAGATCCTGTCTCAAACAAACAAAGAAACAAACAAACAAACAAAAACAACAACAAATACACACACTAAACATATAGGATGTTTGTTATCATTTAAATGGTATTTTATTTTCCTACAATGTGACTTGCTCTCATTGCCAGACACAGTTCATTGTATACTATCCAATAAAGCATTTTCTGTGCAAATAAATGACAGGAGCATAGGGAGCAAAATGAAATTTCTAACATATTAATAGTAACAAGTAATACTGGGACTTTGTATCATGCACTGTATTAAACACACTCTTTTTTTGTGGCACTATGGATAAATCTCAGAGCCTTCACACTGATACATCCTCAGCCTTTTTTTTTCTTTTCCTTTTTTTAAGACAAGTCTCACTCAATTGCCCAGGCAAGGCTTAAACTTTCAAGCCTCCTACCTCAGTCTACCAGATTGCTGGATTACAGGCATGAGCCACCATACCCAGGTAACACTTAACAGACCCTCACAGTGGTGGAAACCGAGGCATGAACCTGCACGCTCACTTGCCAAAGACCATAAATAACAGACACTCTAGTTCCAAAGCATGGACTTTAAAGATCTATTAAGATATCTTGTATATTAACAATGAAACATCTATTATGCAATTTAAATGAATGAGATTGGTAAAAGTAATTCACTGAAAGATTCATGGAGGAATGGAATGTAGCTCAGGGGTACAGCACTTGCCTAATACATACAAGAACCTGGATTTGCTCCACAGCAAAGAAAAAAAACAAAAACAAAAAAACTTGGGACCTGAATCACACTGATCCATCTAAATATTACAAAAAGAGATCAGCAAACAATCTGTATTTTGTGTATCATGTAATACAAAGTATATAGCACGAATTCCTGAACTAACCAACCCCCTCAACCAAATATCATGAATCATGTAGAACTGTGCTAACAAGGCAATCAAAAGAAGTGATAATCAGGCCAGGTGCCGCCGCCACCTGCCTCACAAGTGCAAGGTCCCAAGTTTGACCCCCAATGCCCAAAAAAGAAAGAAGTGATAATCAAATTAAGTTATATATTTTTAATACTAAAAAGAAAAATTAGAGGATTTTGAACTATTAAAATGTTCTTTTCTAAAAGACCGAACTACAAATGAAGGACTTTTTTTTTTACAGTAACTTATTCAGTATTCACTTTTGTCTGAAGAAAAAAGTACCTTGTAAGAGAATAGATAAATGACAAAGATCTCACTAAACAGGTGGATCAGAACTGAGGAGAAAACTACAGACATTTATTTAAATGAGTAAGAAGGATTGAAAGAAGCAAGCCAGTGGGAGTAAGCACAGTGAAAGATCAAGAAAACAGTCTTACTGAAGTATAGGAAAAGTTATGGGAAATAAGATCGTTAAGGTAGAGGCTAAATTACAGGGCTAAAGCATTTAGACATCATCATGAACAAAATGGAGAATCGCTGAAAGTCTGGATAAAACCAAGCTTTGATGAAAGTAGACTTTCATTAAAAATTAACTCCAGAGCCAGGAATTTAGCTCAGTGGTTCCGCCGCCTGCCTTGCAAGCACAAGGGCCCAAGTTCGATCCCCGGTACCAAAAAAAAATTTTTTTAAATAAAAAAAAATAACTCCATTGACCAGGCATGGTGGCACACACCTGTAATCCCAGCACTCTGGGAGGCTGAGGCAGCAGGATCACAAATTGAAGCCCAGCCTGAGCAATTTAGTGAGACCCTGTCTCAAAAGAAAAAATAAGAAAAGGCTAAGGATGTAGCTCAGAGAAAACACCCTGGGCCCCAGTACCACAAACAAACAAAAAATGTACAATTTAATATCAAGTGCAATGCAAAAATGAAGCAGCCAGAATATCAATACGTATCTACCTGAGAAATGAGCTTTGTAGAGTATTGTCACTCAAACTGAGAGAGGAGACCGCCCCTCCATATGGAATTGGGTAACTATTTACTAATTGTGTTATTAGGCAACTATGGGTTAGTCAGGTAACTATGCTCTTTGTGGAATGTACCTGAGTAACTATGACAATTTCTGTAATGTCACCAAAGGAGCTCAGAAAGTCCTGCCAGAACTCTTTCGTTCTCCCCTCCCCTCCACTGCTCTGCTTTGTGTAAATCCTGCTTGCTACATTCCTGAGGAAACTCCAATGGAATTCAGCTTCACAGATGTAAAAAGATGTATATAAGGAAGCACAAACTTCTATTCAGGGCTCTTAAGACTGACAGGACTCACTTGCTGAGCCATGAGCATAAAAAAAGCTGCTTTTTGCTCCTAAATTCAAGTGAAGTGAGGTCTGTCCGGAGCCCGCACAGTTTCAAGAAGTTGTGTTCTAGTATTTCTCAATAGTGATTCTTATAATAAACTGCTGAAAAGAGAGTATAAGCTTCATTTACTAAAAAACAGTATTAATTTCTATCCTGAGTAACGCAAGTATTTGTTGAATAAAGATGACATTCTAATGTGATTAGGATTCCAAATTATATTAGAAATAGTAAAATGTTAAATACTAGTAATTTCTATTTTAATTATAATGTGATATCTTAAGTAGTAACTAGGATGTTTTTAATTTTATATCACAGAAAATACAACAGTAACAAGTTTAGATGAATTTAGCAGATCTTAGGACTGAATATTCCATACATTTAGCAAACTGTGGAATCTATTTCAAGAGGTTCACAGTATCAGAGACTCAATTTCTCTACTGCTTTCTTAGCTCTGCCCTCCTCCATGTGATTTGAATATGTAATTAGAAAACTAAGTATTTCATTTTCATCTATATTCCTAAGGGGAAAAAACTGTTCAGAGACCAGTCGGTAAGACTCCTATTTGGTAATTGGGTGACTCACACCAATTTTCATGCTGACCATAACCTCTACAACCCTGGGAAAAGGGGACACAAACAAGGTAAGGCTTATGATCACACAATTGGGGCTGGCAGCAATTCTGAACATCAGTGTAGGAACTGGGAACCCAAGAAATCCTGGTTAGTGTGGAAAGGGGAGCTGGAATTTTTGAGACAGAGTAGCAGAAAAGAAATTGTTGAGAAGGAACTTCAGAAAATGGCACAGCAATCCTCTTGAGCCTTTGGTTAAACAGCGGTACACACATTTTATAAAGTAAAGCACTACAAAATTTGGTAAAGGACTTCTGGGGAGATCTAGGCTGAATGGCCATAGGGTGCTTCCTGCCTCTCTCCATGTAGAAATGTCTGCCAATGCT